AGCTGATAATGTTTTCTGAGATGGGGGGAAAACATCGTGTCATTGGAAAACTTGAGTTTATTAAAAATGTTAGTAAATTTGGGGAGCCATGCTTTACCGCACACTATAACCGAAGCGTGCAATTTGAAGGGGGCGTGGCCTAAATGCAAATGTCCGATTGGGATTTTAAATTTTCCGGACGCCTGGGTCACAGTCATGCTTGAAGTTGAACTCCCAACGGACGGACCAGCATGCTTACAAACAAGCGATGACACCCGAGTACTCTTACACAAACTAAATTATTTTCTTTTTTCGTCTGTTTGAATTTCTATTTCATTTCAACTATCATGTAATTGGTATAATAAGAATGTAAGGGGGAATTTGGGTGATTTTCCGTTTGTCTGCAGTCTCGAACCAATCTGATCAAACAAACAAAAAGTTAAATTCATTTGGGAAATATGGTCAGTCGTAAACTTTTTCAAAAATAACTGTATTGGCATCCCAAAAGACAAAAATAAAAAGTATATACGTTACTACATTTGGGGTTAGGGGGCAAATTTCAAGATTCTTGTAATGGCCGCACCCACACTGGTGGCAGCGATGTTACCGAGAGTGTAACGAAGATGTCACACGCTGGGAAGGAGCTAGGCTATTCATAAGCATTATAGAATTAATGAAAATGGTGAAAAAGTTTTTGGAATGAAAATAAGCAACATATAATTAAAAAAATATTAATTTTTGTACCCTTTTTGTTACTTAAATAGATTAATCACAAAATGAAGTTACAAAAACAGAATTAAAATAAGTAAATTATCATTAATTATATTTAATTTTTTTGACACTTTGCTTGCATGTTTGTATAACAGGTTAAACAAGGACATTGCAGTTACTCTATCAGCTGATGAAATCAACATCGTACTCACATTACTCCAAGTCATTCACATTAGTGATGTTAAATATTCTGATTGCACAAAAGCCAGGAAATGGTAATGTCCTCTTCATTTAAGAATGCAATGCGGGGGTGAGGTACATTAATGACTAAAATGGGCCATGTTTCGTGTGCTCTCTGTTTGAGTGTGAACCCCACGGGAAGTATAATCCATCATGTTCAGTGTACTCACTCATGAGTGACTGGCATGCAGTAGGGTTATTTGATAGACCAATTCAGATTTGCATTAACCATTTGGGTCACAACATTTAGGTGTTTTGTTGGGTGATTAGTCTAAGATTTAGTCAACTTAGTCCTTTCAGGAAATATTTATTATTTCCTTGAGGATATAATGAGACATTATTGATGCATTGTCATATATTGATACCTGGTTTTCGAAAACATGTATTCTTTTCTTGTTGGCATAAAAGGGGTTAATTTACTTTGGTGTTGTAATTGTGCAGGTAAGCACATTAGGGATATCAATGGTGGGCATTATTGTACCGAATGGAGTAAGAATTTCATATATGTGGAATGTAAAGTGTCGCGATATTGTGTGGACTATTCTTGTGCAGGAGTACATGGACACAGGATGTGATTTTGTCAGCAGTGGAAAATACTGACAGTGTAGGAAGCTGACAAGAGTACCAACATGTTGGATGTTTCTTCATTGTTATATTCTGAAAAGGGTGTGCTTCTGTTTCTTGTTCCATTCCATTCATGGTGAAGTGTTTGAAAGCGTGCTATTTTAATTACATGTTCTGTTGTATGCAGTCGACTCAAAGGAACACCTGAGTTGAATGCAGTCTGATATTGCAGAGTCTTGTAGTAGAACACAGATGGGAATTACATGCAGTTTCGTTCTGTTGTTGCATTTGTTATGACTTGTCAGTTTCATTCTGTGTCAAAGCATTCAATTTGAGTCACTGGGCCTACAGTATTTCAGCAGTATTTGGTGAAAAAAGGTTGTAATTGTTCTGTTGCTATTGATCAGCCACAACAGCGGCATTGTACCACAGTGTTTTTCTGTAGAACTCAACTGTGGTTGTATGCTTCCAGGATCAAGTTAGTGTAAGCTATTCATAAGGTGTCAGAACTATTCAGTTTTTATGACTGTAATAACAATGTTGGACTAAGCATAGCATGTTCGCTATGGCATAGAGGTTTGTTTACTTGTACTATCGTTTGGATTGGTGAGGGAAGCTGATTATAATTTTGACCATCATTTGGATATTTGCTGCTTATTTTGATTGTGTAACAGCTGGGAAAACTCTGTGTATGAGACAGCGGTGAATGGTGTTGGAAACAGATTAAAATGAAATTGACAACTCTCATTAAAACATGTGTAGCTGTACCCATGTTTATTTCAATAAACAATGCGAACCGAGCACATGACATAGACTGCACCAAACCTGGAGCGAACCCTTGTAAGTATTTACTCATGATTAAACATATCTATGACTAGAATAAAGGATAGCTGACTTTACAGAGAACCTATTGACTGCATTGGTTTCAGCTACTTGTGACTTGGAATGATTATTTGCATATTGTATCCTAGTGCTTAAAGCGTTTGCTCATCTTGCCGAAGATCCGGGTTTGATTCCCCACATGGGTACAATGTGTGAAGCCCATTTCTGGTGTCCCCCGCTGTAATATTGTTGGAAAATTGCTAAAAGCGGCGTAAAACAATACTCAGTCACTTACATATTCCTATATGAGAGGGATTCGTGTACACTTCTCGGTAGGAAGAGAGAACATCAAGATGGTAGCTTGTGGTATACAATTTTGTACTTAATACAAGAAGCACTATGTGCCCGGTCAGCACATTGGGGTAGTGGTTGTCATGTTGTGGTCGGGAGTATCTAGCGTAACCCTAGGTAGGTAAACCGTGAGACCATCTCTGGACCAAGGCTTATAAAGCCATGGTTGTTACCTGACATGGATTTAAAGACATTAATATAAAGGACATGTAATTAATGAGAAGTGACATGGGTGCACAGTTGGTTCCCCAAAGTTGACCTTCTGAGGGCCGTAGGAACATGGCAGCTACACTGCAGGGGAAAGTGTTCACTTGGTCTGGGGATCTCAGTGTGACAAGCACTAGGTTGTTGTGAAAAAGCAAATTGGTCGAAAAATGAAAAAGGGAAATGATGAATTAAGAATAATTTTATTATAATGATTTATTATTATTTATGTTGATTTCAGCACCACATATCCTATTTCAGAAAACATCCCACAATTTAATCCCTTAAAACAACACTACAAACATAGCATATCAGATTAAAGGTATTTCTCTGAAACCCAAGGGTCTACTTTATCTGAATAAACCAGGTGCACAGCTCATTCAGGTTGGCTGAAAGTAAATGTACAATACAATGGTGATGAGGATTAATAATGAGATTGGCCTGGCATCTTAAAGTAATGGCAATTAAGTGATTCAAGACATATACATGCCATGGCTACAGGGTAATTAGCCTTTGGAATTAAATGTTCATTCAGACAATGGTTGTCCTGAATTGGTTGCTTTGACAACTCTGGTAAATAAGATAAACACTTCTTCACATGGAGACCCGACCATTGTTTCCTTGTTTTACAGATAAGTTGGCCCAAATGTTTGCTAAAGTAAATATAGTATGTCTAAAGAAAAAAATCATTATTGGAAAGCTGCTTAAATTCTGTTTGTATGGTGTTTCAACTTTAAAGAGCAGTTTTAAACTTAAACTCAACATACCTCTTGCTTCTTGGTAAATTGACGAATTGAGAAAATCCATAAGAAAAGGAGAGAGTCTCATCTGACTATGGAAATAAACCCCTTGAAAAAAAATATTAACATCAACTTAAATTTTGTTATTGTTTCACAGATAAATGTTGTTGTTTTCGTAAGAAAGCCTTTTCTGTTAATAACACTACTTTTTCACTTGATGTTAATTTACTCAGTTTGTTCACAACAAATATTCAAACCAGTTTTATTTTTCACTACTTATTGTTTTTGTAATAAAGAATTTACTGGTAATGATACTACTTTTTCAATTTCTGTTTTTTTACTATTTAGCTTCATTGAAGTTTTGAAAAGGTCACTAAGTTCTCATACTGCCCAGGAATTACGCCATATCCTTGTTCACATCTAATTAAGGCGCCACACAGTGTCTTATCCTAACATTCAGGAAGTAATGATGTGGAGTGTCCAGATTAAGACATTACCATGTCTATACGCCCCCACACAATGCATGTCAACCATTGGTCAATCTGTCCAGTTGGTGTGGCCAGCATAAGGTAACCATTGTGTGTGTGAGTGGAGGAAGCCTGGGCTTCCTTCACATGTTGATGAAATTTGTGTATATAAACAGCACTCAGGAGACTGCAATATTGTGATAATATCCAGTAGCTGTTCATGATGGTGTCTGGGGCTCGATTTATGTTGATCACTGTCATGTGTGTGCTGTCTATCAATGGTTGGTGTAATCGTGTTTATTTGATTAGAATTAATTATTTATGTGTATGTTTAATTGACTACACTTTTATTGCTTTCATACTGTACAAGCACATGTTGACATTCTTCTCGAGTTTGTTTCTTGGTTTGTCAGCACCATACTCATCCTCGTGGGTGTCACCTGAAGTGATAAACATCTAAGACCTGCATCACTTGAGGCATTCCTCCCACATCAAGATGATACACTGTGATATTGGAATTGTGGTCAAAGTGGTGTTAAACTAAGCTCACTCACTGTAACTTTGGATGATTTTCATTCAATATCCACGTGCAGAATGGTGTGGGGGCATTGTAGAAATGTCAGGCAGGGGTAGCAACGGCCTGGGGCATCAATCTGAATGGGGATTGAAGAGAGGGGACACCAAGAATGGACAAAACCAGCAACTACTACTTGGGTAATCCTCCATAAATTGAACAAACAGCTTACTACAGTAAACTATGTTTATACTGTTTAGGGTCACGTCAATTTGCTGTACATTGGGTGTATGTGTGTGTATAACAAACTATAGTTATAACAAACTAAAATTAGAGGTCCCTTTTAGTTCATTATAACCATAGTTTACTGTACTTGTCAGTATTGTCACCATGTTGTTGTTGTTGCAGATGCCTGTGGAAGGGTACCAGGCAAACCCACGACTCCGGCCCCTCTACCAGACACCACTACTGAAGCCTTTTCACATCGGAAGCCATGCACTGACAGTGAAAAGTACAAAAAGGGATGCCTCCAAAATGGGGAATGTTTTGCTATATATTTAGGAGGAAACAGAACATTATCTTGCAAGTAAGTGAAAAACAGTGTACAGCTTTTGCTGCTTGGGAAAAAAGTTACAAATGATGAAAATCAAATTGTTATGGTAAATAGAATGCCCAAAGTAACACTGGTTAGACATTTAAAGTGTGTAACATTAACCAGGCCATATCGACTGTGTGACGTTAAATGGCAACTATCAGCTGTAAGTTGTCTGTTAGACTGTGATGCTCTCACTGTTGACCAATGGTTCCCCTGATCCAGACCAATATAACCAGTTGGCTAATGACATGTCCATTGTATTCCTGACAGTTGTGTACAAGCCCAAACACTGATACACACATTGAAATTGGGAAGCAAGGTAACCATTTGCAATCCTAGGGTAGAATAGGCTAGAACTCTGCTTTTTATTATGATCTGACTACAAATGGTGAATGGGTGATTATAATTTGTGGCATTGATGAATATGTGTCCTTGTACCTGTACATTGTAGATGGGATTATTTATAGCCAGTGTGTAATAGTTGTTACTTGGGTTGGGCATTCATGTAGCCTAGTGGTTAAAGTGTTCGCTCATCACACCGAAGACCCTGGTTTGATTCCCCACATGCGTACAATATGTGAAGCCCATTTCTGGTGTCCCTGCCATGATATTTCTGGAATATTGCTAAAAGCAGTGTAAAATAATACTCACTCATTGTTACTTTTGTGTGAACATGGTCAGGAACGTTTCCGTGCTTCCTATCAATGTTCCCTTTTTGGATGGCTGCTAAATGGTTGTCCTGCATCTCACCTACTCCCAGTAAATTATTTGTTTCTGTATCGTCTAATTGCTTTTTCAGATGTCCTGAGATGTTCACGGGTCAGAGATGTGAAGAGCTGTCTCCTGATATCTTTGAAAGAAGTAAAAACCTTTTCTGGCTATTTATCTGTTGTGCATGTTGTACCTCTTTTTGTACACACAATCTGGAGACATGGACCTGCCCTGACCTAGCCCTGCTGTAGCAGGACCCAGGACTGTTGCATGTATCTCACAATGACAGAAATGAAGATGAGATCCCATGATACAACAAAAATCATGATACGGAAACTCAAACTCAGGACATTTGTAAAGTTCCAGAGACCAAACACATTTGTCATGTGGTTCATTCTGTTGAATTTTCTAGAATCGGGTAACCCTGAGATAGATACATAGTATGAATCGATAAATATCTGGATCTTAGGAGATTCAACTTTTCATTGCGTTTCATTGATTTATAAATTTTTGTGTATATTTTGTATTGAGGGAAGAACAAAACTACAGCATTCCTTACACACATTACAGCACATACACAGACACACACACAGACACACACACACACACATTGTTGTATGTCAAAATATAAGTGCAACAATCATGAACACTATGCTAAACCCCATATCACCTCACCACATCTTATGTTGCCATGTGCCACAATATTCAGAGTTACAAGTTTTATCATGGAACAAAAACTGTTGATGGAGATGTTCAATTTATGTTTCGCATATCGTGTCACAATATCAAACTTTGTTCTTTGCACGATACAACTATGTTTGTAATGTCTTGGTAAATGGGCCTGCCAACCCAGATATTATGGAAAATAGAAAGAACACCATTTTGCTAAATGAAATAAGCCATACTTGTAAATTTGATTGAAAACATATTTGACTCTGAAACTCTGACTTTTCAATTGAATGTTTTTCCATTACAGTTATGTTACTAAACAACATGGCACATGGTGCAGACAAAGGTTTTTAAAAACAAACATAATAAACATGAAACTCACTCTCACTCACTGATGTTCACAATGTACATATATCATGGTCTATTGCAGTCCGGGAGGAGGAGAAGGTTGTGACAGCCAGCATAGCAGCCGGTGTGTCGGTACTCATCATTTCATTGACAATGGGGATTATATATGCTGTCGTCAAAGTCAAACGGAGACGGAATCACCAAGAGACGAGGCTGAATGGGGTTCCAAAAAATGGAAACCTTTTGAGGCCAATAAATGAGGTAATTATATTTTTAAAATATGTTAGAAGAACTGCTACCAAGGTTTGTGTGAAAGCTGAATATTTGGTCTAGTATTTACACTTTCAGTAATACTCATTAATTCTCACAGGGGGATTGTTTCAAGCAAGTATTTCTTGTATCTGTATTTATTTTGTATGTGAGATGCAGTTAAATTGTCCTCTTGGGTTCATTTCTTCATAACACCACCTCCATGGTCTCGTGGTAGAGCATCTGTCCAGAGAGCGGAAGGACGGGGGTTCAATTCCCGGCCGCGTCATACCAAAAGACGTTAAAAGATGGTACCTACTGTTAATCTGCCTGGGGTTTGGCATTAGGGGGCTAAAACAAGGACTGGTTGACTCGGAGTCAGTATACTGTGTCTGAGTGGGGTATTGATGTTAAACTGTAGCATGGTATCTCAGTGGGCTAGCAGTATAAAATCAGCATTAGTCCAAACTAGTACCACGTGCGTGCAAGCATGTCGCTATGTAAGTGCAGTAATCTTGAATGATACATTAAACCCCATTTCACCTCACCTCATTTCTTCATACTGATAGCTCTATGATCACTTTTGAATTATTTTGGCATGTTCATTTTAAATGTTTCAAAAGTATTTTAGGTGATGCGCCTGCATATCAGATACAATTACTATACACCTTATTGTATGCAGAAAGTTCGGAAAGTTGTCAAAAAGTGTAAAATTGTCTTTAAATAATTTTTTTAATTTCATACTTGATTTTGTCTTATGTTTCAGATTGATAGCCCTGATGAAGGAGATGAGTCAATAATAGAAGATGAGAAAAAACAAACACTTTTATACAATAACCACCTTTTAAATGACATACACAACTGCAACAGAGAAACAAAAGTATGATCCAGACAACCAGGGGTGGCCATCTTGTTTTTGTTATGTGACCTTGACCCTAGCATTTATCATGTGACCCCATGTGAAGCACACATCAAGAATACTTCATCGTTCATATCATTATCAGTGTTGGTACCAATACAGTGGGCCATGTACAACCAGCATTTATGAGTGCCATAGATTAACAGCTGAAGTATATATGATATAACGTACGGATGTTCATTTCGAAGAACACTGTGTGACAATTGTTTAAAACCACAAGGGAGAAAATGACAGGTTTGTATGAATGATGGATCATCCTTATGCAATTTATATACTGTGCAACACCAGGAAATCAGACAATCCTTGGATTCAGATTGGGGAGGTGTTGATATGGATCAGCTGCATCAGCATCAATACAGACAACAGTGGACATCTTCCTGGAACATGGATTTACTTGTTTGTGAACCAGATTGAAATCTACATGTGGTGATGCTTGTTTCCTTTGGTTGTGAAATGGGCATGAACAAGTCACAACAATGATGGTAGGACATCAACAGCTAATTTCTAGGTTTTCTAACCTACAAGTACAAGCTTAGAAACAAACGTGTTTGCAGATTCACGGAGACCCTTCTTGTTTTTTGGCTAGTCAGTGATTTTGTTCAGTTTGAAACCTAGAAGATGGCACCCCTGTTGCATGTCTGACTTTAGTCACAAAACTGACTGGAGGGATTGTGTTTCTTAAGGCAATAGGACAAATGAAATAAATTGCCAATGGGGACTGCCCTTTCATGGAAAAACAGATTCTGTGATCTACAGTTGGTGAATTGATTCTCCCAACTGACAAGTGGCCATTACTGTATGTATATGACCTTTAATGATCTGTGTGACCTTTGTCACACATGACATGTGACATGGTGACCTTTGACACAGTGTGACCTTGATCTGTGACACAGTCCAAAAACATATCATGGCTGATAACCTCTTACTATCACGAAATGCCTTGTTTTTGAAACAAGTGGTGCTTTATGGACTTTCATATTTCATATTTATTGGTTTAATCTACTGAATGTATGTCTAAATTATTTTTAAGAGCAAACTAGGCAGATAACATGTAGCATTATGTATCGAGAAATGATATTGAAGTATTTAGACAAATCGTCATGGTTTCTTGCATTTGAAGGCCATGAAGTAACACTGAGTTCTTTTTCCAAGAAGCAAGTTCTTGTAGATAAACATTGTTTTAAAGGTGTATTCTACATTTTCCCTAAATTCTTAGAAATAGAGTTGTATGCAATGAATTAATATGGCCAACTTATTTCCTTTTTGGTGGGTTTCAGATTTTGAAAGTCAAATATTTGGTCGGTAGGTAAACAAGATACTGTACATTGTACAAGATTTTATATTTGGATCAGTAGGCGATAAACACAAGAAATCATAGCCTGGTTTTGGTTCCTTTTAAATATTATTAATCTAAAATCTTGAAGCAGTCATTCATTTTGGTTTTTATTGTCAAATCAATATTTACAAGTGGCTGTTTAAAACCTTGTCATTCTGATTATATTTTGTTCTGAATTTTACATTTTTAAGTTTGGCAGACCCGTAAACCTAGCCAAAATAGGTTAGGCCTAGGCTTCAACTTGCGATCAACACAGTTTCTATTGAATACATGTTTAGGCCAGACCAGTGTTATACCTTGTTTTACTTTTTATCAAACAGACACCAGATCCAAGACAAAGTGGAACAGTGTTAACCAGAGGGTACAAGAAAAGCTATAAATATGACAGTGAAAAGAATTGTCAAGAAAGTCTGTATTAAAAATATACTAAGGTCGTTTAAGCATATAAGCATACTTTCAATCAAAGACAACATTTTACTCTTTGGACATTCATTTCAAAATTATGAGCAGGCTCTCATATAAGCTTATCACCCTGGTAAGATGTATAGTCCTGTAAGTACTTCAAATATTGATTTAATGAGCTATGTTACAAGTAATCATGTGTTTGCACTACCTTAGCACAACTTCTTTATATAAATAACACTGTCCTGTGACATTTTAGAATCTTCTACTACAATTGTACTACTTAGCCCGAAATATTGAATACATTTCTCTTCTGTTAAGAAACAAACTTAGTCTGGCCTGAACAAAGATGTACAAACGTGCACACTTACCTTGAGAACCAAAGCTATGTGTCATTTTGCAGGTGATAGTTATACAATAGTGCCATCCTGACACAGAACCAGACCATGGTTGTCATAGGGAGATCTTAATAACACCTTGAATTATGCAAGTTGCTTGATGTAGATATCATATCTGTCAACATGTGAATGTGAGATTTTATCAAGGGGAAGTCATTTTATAAAGTTTTTAGCATATTAATCATTTTATTAGAATTGTCCATTGTTTGATGCATATGTACTCATATTGTTTGCATAGCAGTTACAGCTTGTGAGATTGTGTTTACTTTTCATCAATTGACCAAACTTGTTAATCAAGAATATCCTTCTATACAGATATGTAAGCATGAACCAGATATTTCTTTATATCATTTTTGTGTGTGTTTCAACCTAGATATGTTACTATTATTTAGCAAGTTATTCGACATGTAAAATATAGCAAATGCAAAAAAATCATTCATTAGTGGAGCATTAGGTATTGGGGTATTATGTTTGGTAAGGAAATGTATAATACAAATTGAAAATCTGATTAAGCTAGTTTGGAAAATAAAGCAACCAAAAAACTTACCATATTCGTAACAAATCCTTATGATTATGGAAAGTTTTTTAGAGCCCATTGTACGATTCCGACTTTATCACAATCGCTATCAAATAGTGATAATTCCCATGGCAAAAAGTTGAGCGTATCCTGCCCCACTGGTGGCTCCCATCTCAAACACATACAAAGGCAAGTCAATCGTTCACCTAAAAAGTTTTGTTTCCACTTCATACTTGAATCACAGTCAGTTTCTATTATTTCAACCTCTTATTTCGGGATAATGAATGTCTCAAAGTAATCCTTTTTGTATCATGCAGACTACACATAATATCCCATGCTTTGAAATATCATTCCTCTTATGCCTTGAGTGTGTGCAAACCATTGAAGAAATCCTTTATAATTCAACTGTTCAGGTCAAACGTGATATTTGTCATAAGATTTTATGTAATTTGACTTGTCCGAAAGGCAAAAAAAAGTTTACTTTGACATTTGATTTGTCTTTAATTTCAGACTTAAAAACATACAGCAGTATTCATTTGCCTTTTGGATACTGTAAGTCATGAAATTAATGAGTCACCAAACTAATGCGAGTGTTGATCCCTTGCCTAAGATGTCTCATGAAATTTATGTGGGTAGCCCACCTTTGAACTATTCAGCAATAACACCAAGACTGTAGAATGAGAATTCCTTGACAGAGTCTGGGGTGCTAGCAGTTTGATTGAATAATATCATCACATGCTTAACTTCAACTGCTTGACATTTGATCTGACTTCCAAGAAATCAAAAGCAGGACATTTCAAGAAAGGCTTCTTCAAATGAGATAGGTCTGGTTGATGACTGAGATTGTACAGGTGTCAAGTAATGTTACATGAGTTAGCGCAATCCTTTGTTATGTTATGTATTCACCACGACTGCTGTGACGGTACTGGACATGTAACAACTGTTATATTTGGGGTAACACTTTCTTAGTAAAGTACAGATTCTAGTACCTTTTGGGTCGAGTCGCATGCAGGATTCAAACCCACACTGCCAGAGTGAGGCACCTAATCGCCAGCACACAGTGATCAGTGATCTTACCTACTCAGCCACCGAGGGTTCCACTATTACTCGTTGGTGAGCAGTTCTTGTAATTATAAGATTATTGGACAGGTTAACAAGAACAAGGCTGCCGTCATACACCATCATGGCAACTGTCATAACCGGTTGATCAACTAGTGTAAAGAAACTGACCACACTTGCAGAGGAACTTGGTGAAGAGCTAGCGCTTTGTTGAGTATGTTATTGCTTCCGGCCATGTGCAGTGAACCTGACATGACAGTATACACCAATATGTCCAGACAAAAATGCATCCCTTTATTAATGCGAGTGAGGGACACTCACATTTTTTTCATTAATTTCATGCTGGCTTTAATTTCATGATTTACGGTATCTTTCTTTTTGGCATATTGACACAACATGAAGAAACACAAGGCTAAATCTTATTGTTAGGAGGACATTTTGTTTCAAAGGTACATTTATCTAAACAATCTTATACAGACAGGTCTATATCAGTGTGGTAGGCAACTATATTTAGTGACTGGTCTTTTGTATCATTTGTATCGCAGACTTTTATTGTCCATCCTTGAAGTTTGAGGAAGAATAGTGAGTCATTTGGAGTAACTCTTCTATATATCCACTGATATTGCAACCAACAAGCAAACAGTATTCCTTCAGTCCCAGTATACATTTAGCTTTGTTATTTGACCATTTAGTAATGTTCAATGCAGCATGCTGCTGTCAAACCAGCACAGTTGCAAGTAGGCCTTGGGTGGTGAGGAAGGTGCGTGGTTCACACAGAAAGCCTGGGTTTGATTCCCAACATGTGTGAAGCATTTCTTGGTATCCCTGATGCAATATGTCTGGATTATTGCAAAACGCAGCCCAAATGTATCCTCTCACTGCTCACAGGCCTGACAGAGCTGCACATGATCAACTGGCAAATGGGGAATTTAGAGAAAGTTCAGAGACATCTGTTGTCCTTTCAATATGGTGAAGCATTTTCAGTAACAGAAAATCACTAAAGTAGATATAAGGTGAGATCTGATTGTTTCAGAGAATCACCCTGAGCATCATGTTTCTTTAATATTTCACCTGTCAAATGAAATGTTATTGTATAATTATGATTTTGAAAAATAATTTTCTGTAAGCCATATACTAGAGCAAGACATTAAAATTTAGTAATATAATTGTTTGTCAAGTTGACAGTAATAATCAATATCCTAATGTTTCCTCACATATTCTAGGTTAGTCTGCAGATCATGATCAAAATGAATAACACAGATTATCCATTATAAATGATAAAACAGGAGAGTTCCTGGAATCTTTGGGTGCATTTGTCTTAAAAGGAATTGTCTAGTAGTCTTTTGAGATGCATGCAGTACATACTTGAGTCAGAAGCTACACTGCCCTTCACTAAGGACTGATTATGATGTCAGCAAACCTTGTGTTTTCTTACAGCAGGAAATTATTTCTTGAAGATGTCAATACTTTGACAGATGGTTTCATCATTTTGGTTTGAGAAGGTAGCAGGTTTCCACAGAATCCAATCAAGAATTTCATGTTGCAGTTTGTTTTTTGCATTTTGTGAATTATTCATTAGGGTCATCAAAGCAGCCAATTATGAAAGTTTGCCTCACGTGAGAAAAGGACTTGCATGTTATAACTGTTGACAATTGTTGAAAGTACTGTTAAGTTTTGAAAATGACAGTTTTGTTAGTCCATGGGTTGCTTATATAAGATATCATTACATTATATTGTGTGTCACTCTGTTACATACTCATGTGTATTGTAAGGACTTGGTTTAATAAAATTGCAGCTTAACTGTTATTCAAATTTGAGGAAACCTATATATTTAAATAAGGTAATATAAAAATCAGTGAATCTCTAACAGATATCAGATTAAGCAGATATTGCAAATGTTTAGTGTTCATTCAGCTATTGTGATATTACTCAGATATTCGTTTTTTGATAATTTTGCTAATAGTGCTTGAAGTGTTAACACATCAAGGTGAACACATTGAGTTAGACCAGATTCATTCAACTGAAATATTCCTCATTCTGATGGCCATTATGTTATCTTACCTAAGTGATATTCTGCATATTTTCATTGCATCAATTCCTTACAATAATCAGTTCATTAGCACATATGGTTTTCATATCAATATTAGGGCAGATTAATGTGTATTTTCCATTTATGTATTATTATATTCCTGATTTTAATTGCCATGCTAATCCATATTAATTTTATTTATTGTTTTGTTTGAATAGGGGGTAATTATTAGTACTGGATATTGACATTTCAGACTACAGTATATCTAATCTGATCAAATTCCTAGAGTTTGTATGTAGTACAATTTTTTGTTCAAATCCTAAATGTTTGTCATTGCTCAAAAGGAAAAAAACCCATGCAAACTTTGTGCTGAATGGAAAATGGTCATATGCAGTTACAGTTTAAAACAGGTGTGATAGGATACTCCTTGTTAGGTTAATTTATGCAATGGATTTGCATATTCATTTGCTTTGCTGACAAATGATAGGCTTGATATATTGTTTTATTTTAGCAATAACCCCCTCAATAAACCATAGCATATCATTCAGTGTTTGAATCCAAAGTTTTCTTTGAGAATGCCACAAAAATTGCTGTTTCCATGTTCAATATTTTTAAGCTTAAGTTTGCCAAAATGTGAGCTTAGAAGAATTATTTTGTTGAAAAGAAATCTGACTTTCAGATTGATAACTTTACATGTGCATGTGTAGTTAAGAGACATAGCTGAATGAATACTTGTTTTTGATAGCTTACGGAACATGAGTACTATTTACATGCATACATGTTAAAGAAAGACATCTGCATTGTTAGATTGACATGTATGCTAGCAGGCATGTCTCATATCTTGATTTGGGGTTTAAGCTGCGCGTAGTACATTTTTGAAATGCAGTGAAAGAATTGTTGAATTTGTACATAAAATGATTTACATGTAAAAAAATAATAAATTTTTCAATGTATTTGCTTGTTTGTCACCTAGTATTTCACAAAGGAACAAAACCATGGAGAGGAGTCATCAGGAACACTTCGAGGAATTAATGAAAGGCCATGTAACGTTATATACACTGAAGTGGATATAAGTAGTACAGTGGTAAAACATGCTATTATAAATGTTTCTGAGTTGTGTCCCCAAATTGTGCCAGGATTGTGTATTTGAATCCCAGATTAGCCCCAGTTATTATCTTTGGTCGTCATCATTCTGTTACTTGTTGGCTTCTCAGCAATGGTGCTGGAAGTTAACTGACTATGAACTGTACCTCTGGGTTTTGTCACGTATAAGGGTCACACTCTGCAGTAGAACCAGTCTAATTATCCCCCGCCGCGCGAAAGCGCGAAGCGGGGGATATAGTATTCACGACCGTCCGTACGTCCGTCCGTCCGTCCGTCCGTCCGCTGTCTGTCCATCCGTCCGTACGTGCCACCTGTTTGTTGCCGCGATATCTCAAGAACTAAACACTGGATTGTCTTCATATTTGGAACTATGGTGTATATACAGACTCCACAGACACCAGTCGGTTTTGGTGACCTTGACCCCATTTTCAAGGTCACAGCAGGCATATCTGCTTTTGGAGTTGGAAAACGGTGTTGCCGCGATATCTCAAGAACTAAACACTGGATTGTCTTCATATTTGGAACTATGGTGTATATACAGACTCCGCAGACACCAGTCGGTTTTGGTGACCTTGATCCCATTTTCAAGGTCACAGCAGACAAATCTGCTTTTAGAGTTGGAAAACGGTGTTGCCGCGATATCTCAAGAACTAAACACTGGATTGTCTTCATATTTGGAACTATGGTGTATATACAGACTCCGCAGACACCAGTCGGTTTTGGTGACCTTGATCCCATTTTCAAGGTCACAGCAGACAAATCTGCTTTTAGAGTTGGAAAACGGTGTTGCCGCGATATCTCAAGAACTAAACACTGGATTGTCTTCATATTTGGAACTATGGTGTATATACAGACTCCGCAGACACCAGTCGGTTTTGGTGACCTTGATCCCATTTTCAAGGTCACAGCAGACAAATCTGCTTTTAGAGTTGGAAAACGGTGTTGCCGCGATATCTCAAGAACTAAACACTGGATTGTCTTCATATTTGGAACTATGGTGTATATACAGACTCCGCAGACACCAGTCGGTTTTGGTGACCTTGATCCCATTTTCAAGGTCACAGCAGACAAATCTGCTTTTAGAGTTGGAAAACGGTGTTGCCGCGATATCTCAAGAACTAAACACTGGATTGTCTTCATATTTGGAACTATGGTGTATATACAGACTCCGCAGACACCAGTCGGTTTTGGTGACCTTGACCCCATTGTCAAGGTCACAGCAGGCAAATCTGCTTTTGGAGTTAGAAAACGGTGTTGCCGCGATATCTCAAGAACTAATCGCTGGATTGTCTTCATATTTGGAACTATAGTGTATATACAGACACCGCATACACCTGTCAGATTTGGTGACCTTGACCCCATTTTCAAGGTCACAGCAGGCAAATCTGTTTTTGGAGTTGGAAAACGGTGTTGCCACAATATCTCAAGAACTAATCGCTGGATTGTCTTCATATTTGGTAGTATGGTGTACAGGCGGGGGATATTTCGTCACTCTGTGACAAATACTTGTTCAGTATTGTTTTATAACCCAAAGAGCTGGATAAATGTAATTCTGTTTTAAAGGGGAACTAGGCTCAAGCCAACTGACAGTCTGGGCAAGTTGGGAACAACTGGCTCTGACAATTCATGTTTTTGCAAATCCTGAACATTAGTTAGATCTACCCTGGTAGTTATATACAACTTTAACATGATTATGATCAACAGTAAAGTTCAAACTTTATGAAAAGCAGTTTTTAATAGACAGTTTACGTTTAAAGTTTACGAAAAAATTTGACTCCTCTTATGTTTATGATAGCATGTTACATTAAACAGCGTTAAACCCCATCAAGACCCTCCTATCACAACTAGCCCAAAACTGAAAGTCTGCTCCATATAGTGTCAGCACACATCACTCTCAAAATCACTTTACAAGTTGTTCTTTGGGGTTTTTAGTCATGCTACGATGTAGGAGATATATTGTGTTCCTGTTGATGTGAAGTTGAAGTTGATTGTTTGATGGCTCCTCCCTGCGGACAAAGAAGTTGTCCGTTTTGAAGAAATGACCACCCAGGAGAGTAAATTGCCTGACCCTTATTACAAGGGACAATGAAACGTTCTTGAACGGTTGACCACCCTGTGGACAATACAAACTAAGAGACTGGGTGGACAATACAAACTATACTACCCAAAAGTAGTTGATAGTTTAAGGGCCACCCACTTCATGACAGATTAACTATAGTAATATGAGGTGAGGTGAGGTGAGGTGAGGAGAAATGGGGTTAAACGTCACGTCCAACCAAGATTATTGCACTTGTATAGCGGCCTGCATTCAGGTGTGTGTGTGTGTGTGTCTGTGTGTGTGTCTGTGTGTGTGTCTGTGTGTCTGCTTGTACTAGAATGCCGTTTTTATAGTGCCAGCCCTCTGAGAAGCCATGCCGCTGTTTTACATGGATACCCCACTCAGACACAGTATACTGACTCTGAGCTGAACCCTTAATGCCCAGCGCCAGACAGGGTAACAACAACTTCCACCTCTTAACATCTCATGGTATGATGCGACCGGGATCGAACCTGGACATTCTGCTCTCCGGGAAGATGCTCTATAGTAATATGAAATGAAAGAATCGGGTGGTCCTTAACTTCCTCTGTGTAGTATATAAACTGTGACCCGGTTTCTGAGTCAGTGCACCATTGGTAATATCCTCACTTCCTGAGTTTATTTAGCATTGAAAAAGTCTGACATTGTCATTATCCCACAGCAGTGTTCTCCCAAGATATACATGAATTCTTTTCCTATTTGTTTGGAATGCTTCCTGAAAACCTCTATACTCTTTTGTTGACACATTCTCCCAAATGCTACTTTACATCCTGGATAGCTATTCATGCTGTATTTTGGAACGTATTGTGGCAGACATGGCCGTTTGCGTACAAATAAGCAAAGTCAAATCTTTTGGTCCAGTATCAGATGAAGTGGGATAAGGGCCCTTTGTGGCCGACAAGCATTCAGCATAGCTTTCAGAAATTGTCTTAAAAAATCATCTTCTGTCACAGACTCATACTTTTTCATTTGAAGTTCTAAAATAAACTTTTTGAGACATACTTATATATTTTATTGTGTCAGAAGAACGAAACTTGCAAGTGTAAGAAAGTAAAAAAACGAGTTCTTTATGGACATGTCTTTTAAATTTCTTACCAATATTTCAATGGTTTCCATAACTTCAAAATTTACATTGAAAATGGTCTAAAGTACCTTTATCCAACCTTGTCCTTTAACTAAGATAAACTAGGATATGACACATTATGTCCAAGTCATATGACCACAGAGAAAAATATGACTGTCAGGCTAAGTGTTCAAAAGAAATTGATCCCAATGCCTCCCTAATTAACATATCGTAACCCTTTGAGTAAGTGAGCAATTATGTACTCTATTGTTTCCCTGATCATGGCAAAAAATATCTCATCTGTTGCAAGTAAGTATGTATTTAGGACTTCCAAGCAATGTTATAATGAATCAATTTATTATTTCATAGGGGCTACTCAAATAGTATTCACTAGAAATATTTTTTATATTGGTGAGTAAAACTGCCTCTTATCTGATACATTCACAACCACAAGCAGAAAGACCCCCCTGTATGATACTGAAGTTATAGGTAATAAAGCACTACATTGCTACATTATTTAAATATACTAATGTTATTTTCTTGCATAACTGTTTCATTTTATATGAGAACGCAAATGCAGTTTAAAGAATAATTTTCACAAACCTGAACACAGCAACTCGATAATAATGGAAGGGAGGTAATTCTTGCTTTCTTAAATGTTGCGAGTGAAGCGTCCGAAATGATTTTCATAGAACGCCACCAAGTGGTCAACAACTTTAGTTGCAGAAGTACTCCAGTTGAGACAGTTCTCAACAATTTCCTGTGTATAAACAGAAAGAATGCGGTATCCTGAATATTATCATATGTTATATAGAAATAATATTTGTGAGTATCTATATAAATATATATTGCATTTAATCGATATTAGGAGTATTGTTGTTGTTTTTAAATCAGAAATGAAATTGTGATACATCCAATAAGTTGTGAATATAATTGTACATTTTCATTGTCAGCCAATCAATAGCTGTAACGTCATCAAAATAGTTATCGTCTGCAGTTCATGTTTTTTTTTTATCCCAGACAGATACAAAATATTGTTCCATTATATGAGTTTAAGGATATATATATCTATATATCGATTCGGTATCCCAAACAGAATATTACGAAAGGATCCGAAGTGACCGCGATACACTAAAAACATCAAACGACATGTAGATCTATCCCGTTACTTCATTCACAGTACGGTATGTAAAGCTACGTTTTGAGATATAATATTTGGATAATATTCCGTGAAACCATTCTAATTTTGACATGACGAGAAAAGAAGCATTGCTTTTCTAAAAAAATACTTTTTTATACCGAATGTTTATAAGCAGATATGGGGTGGCGGAGTAGCCTTATGGTTAAAGCTTTCGCTCGTCGCTGTCAAGACCCGGGTTCGATTCCCCACATGGGTAAAATGTGTGAAGCCCATTTCGGATGTCTCCCGTCACTGCAGATATGATAAACCTAAGTGCCAACAAACCTACCATTTCATTTACCATTTCTTGTGAGAATAATCAAACCAATTTATGAAACGATGCACATCGATATAAATCAGTAGGTGACTGATATCGCGGTGTACCCGTCAATCGTTTAGTAATATTGTACATTCAAATATAAGTAATCGTACATACTTCACAGGTTTGTATGCTAGAATCTCTGTTTGAAGGAGGAACGTTGTGTCTAAAATAACAACCCATGGATTATTGAAATTGACGATGTGTGAA